GGGACAGGGGCTGGTGTGTCTGGGGCCAAGCTTATGGCTGGTGCTGACATGTCTGAGACACTAGCATGTCTGGAATAAAGCTTTCCAATGGCCCAGCTAGGAGTTTGGTTAAAGAAAGGAAGAACTGAGCAAATAAATAAATGCATCAGGAATAATGAGAACAAAAAGAGTGAGAATAATCAGAATAATCATTTACTGTCAGAGTAGCAAGTTGCAAATATGGAAAAGGAGAAGGCTAGAATACATTCTGTAGTGTTGCACTACACTCCAAGGTACTATGAAGAACTCAATGATTTTTGAAATATATACAAGATACAGAAAGAGATTGGGGGTGCGTGTGCGCGCACATGCACACACACATACACACACACACACACACACACACACCCCTACATCTATTTCTCAGCTTGGCTCAGAAAATCAGGAATACTATTACTCTGGTAGCAATGAGCAAATATGGTAATGAGATTGTCATTTCTAAACATCATTGTCCATGAGAAAGAACCAGGGTTCCTTAAAGAAATAGCTGACTCCGGGCACCTGGGTGGCTCAGTGGGTTAAAGTCCCTGCCTTCGGCTCAGGTCATGATCCCAGGGTTCTGGGATTGAGCCCCGCATCGGGCTCTCTGCTCAGCAGGGAGCTTGCTTCTTCCTCTCTCTCTGCCTGCTTCTCTGCCTACTTGTGATCTCTGTCAAATTAAAAAAAAAAAAAAAAAAAAAGAATAGAAAAGAAATAGCTGACTCAGGGCTGGACAGAAAACATGTAAGATGCTCTGTCCATAGAAAACGCCTAGGAAAAAATGACCAGCCTCATAACTCTGAGCACCTCCATACTATGGTTTCCATATACCATTTCCAACTAAAAGGAATCAGGGCTCCTAGAAGGAACAGCTGATAACATGCCTAGAGTAGGAAATGAAGACAGGGGTTCTGCAACATCTAGTTGTACCAGAACAGGAACAGCTATCAAGTCCATGGAGGTGAGGGAATGGCAGAAGGACTCAGAAGACAACGTGAAGGGGCTCTCCCTTGAATAAACACAGGACAATGTGAGCATCCAAAAGAGTAATATCTTCAGTGGACTAAAATAAATCAAGTATGTTAAAATTCCTATGTCAAAGGGAACTCAAACAAAACAAAATCAAAAAGAACAATAATCATTTTTGGTGGGTATTAGGGAACTGATCTGTTAGGAAAACTGACAGTAAAGGGAAATAATCTAGAATTGATCCTGTCTTTCCTATGTAAACTGTACCTTTTAAATCCATCATTTCTGTCTTAAAATAGATCGCTTCATTCAATTCATACTTAGGGTCCTGAATAATAACAGATGTAACTGAAATAGGTACTTTTACTTTACCATGAGGTTGATCGAATTTTATTTATATATCCACCATCTTTTAAGTCAGAGATTTTACTGTTTATAATGTTATTAATGATTATGATCTCTTTCCTTGCTCTCTTAATCAAATAAATATGACTTTACTACTACTTACGAAACCTTGTTATGTGAGTGAGAAACCCTTCAGGTCAGATTTTCTCAGTGTATGTACACCATCTTCAGTCTCCACATCCAAACCCATTTTACACAGGAAGACTGTCCTACTACTTCAGGGTGACTTTTGGATTAATCAAGTCCTAAAGCAGGCTGAGGGTTGTGGGAAAATTCTGTAGCAGACCCTAAGGAAAAATGAGCTGAGCCAATAATGATTCCTGACTGTTGTAAGATCCAGGGCTGCTTAAGAGTTGAAAATAAGGGACGCCTGGGTGGCTCAGTTGGTTAAGCTGCTGCCTTCGGCTCGGGTCATGATCCCAGGGTCCTGGGATCGAGTCCCACATTGGGCTCCTTGCTCGGCAGGGAGCCTGCTTCTCTCGCTGCCTTTGCCTGCCTCTCTGCCTGCCTGTGCTCGCTCTCGCTTCTCTCTCTATGACAAATAAATAAATAAAATCTTTAAAAAAAAAAAAAGAGTTGAAAATAATCCTACTTTCCTAGAAGGGCTTAAAATAAGACTAGAGTTGTTCTGGACAGAGCATGTAGGCATAGGAAAGGTCTATTTGACTGGTCTCTGACTCCTGCTATCCTGAAGCTTTTTGTCTCATTGCATTGAAAAAAATCAAAACAAGTACTTAGCCCACAAAGAAGAGATATGGTTAGTTTTCAGAGGTTTTAAAACAGTAAGACACTATTGTGCGAAAGGAACAGACTATATGTATTACATACTATATGGTCCCATTTCTCTTGAAGACTTGTTTCTGCACTTACTTGTACAAAAAAATCTAGAAGTACACATACTCTAAAATGTTAACACTAGTGTTACTTAAACAATTAGACTGCGGTGGTTCTAACACCCCAGCACCCTAAGCAAACCAAAACATATGCCTGTAAAGGACTCAAGGGTAAGAAATCAAAACCTAAAGACAACCAATCATAGTCAATTCAGCTCTCCCAAATAATACAACTGCTTGAGTTATAACCAATCAGATAATCCCTTTCTGTGCTTCTGCCACTTTTCTATAAAAACCTCTCCCAGCTCCCCAATTGGGACGTATTCCTAACTGTCCATGGTTTTGCGCTGCCCGATATGAATCAATTTTTGTTCAAGTAAACTTAGAAATTTTTAATATGCCTCAGTTTTTCCACTAACATTAGGCAATCTCTACAATTGAGATTACTTTCATTTATTTTCCACTTACGTGCATTTTTTAATTTTTCTAAAATGAAGTTTTCTAAAATGAAGTTTTAAAAACACCGTGTCATGTATGAAAGCTGTAGATGAGTAGAGCTTAATTTCTCTACTGAGGAAATCTTTTATTCTCTAGGAAAAATGTGAAAACTTCGCTTTTACTACAACATTTACCAGTGATTCCTCAATCTTCTTAAGAAATTGCTTGATTGCATAAGCTAATGATCTCTCACAATCATTTCATTTTTCTTAAAGATTTTATTTATTTGAGAGAAAGCAAGTACAAGCTGGGGAGGCAGAGGGGCATAGGGAGAGGCAGGCTCCCTGCAAGGACTTGATCCCAGGACCCCGGGATCATGACCTGACCCAAAGGCAGATGCTTAACTGACTGAGCCACCAGGTACCCTGAACAGTCGTTTTATTTTTTTATTTATTTTATCTTTAAGATTTTATTTATTTGAGAGAGAGTGAGAGAGAGTGCGAGCAATCACAAGCAGGGGAAGAGGCAGAGGGAGAACAGGAAGGGAGAAGCAGGCTCCCCCCCACTGAGCAGGGAGCTGGACATGGGGCTCCATCCCAGGACCTAGAGATCATGACCTGGGCCGAAGACAGATGCTTAACTGACTGAGCCACCCAGATGCCCCTGAAAAGCTGTTCTAAAAAGACCTTTTTAAAGTATTTTAATCCTGTACCAAAACATAATTTTGAATACTGCAAACCCTAATGCCTAAAAATAACAGAAGTCTTTAAAAGTGTGAAAAAGCGTAAGACACGATAATGTGAGCAAAGCAGTAGAAAACTCAAAATAGATTCTTAAAAATATCAAATTTAAGTTCTCTGTCCAAAAGGAGTTAAGACACAAAATCAAATCATTTAGTAAATGAGAACTATGATCCAGAAGATTGGCTAATAATAAAGACAGTGTTTTGATGGTTCACAAATAATAAAATGCATTCCTTCCTTGCACTGCATCTTGACTGTGCCAGCAGTTACATCGACTCTATGCATCTGCCAAGACTTAGTTATAGCCGTATGCTCAAAACTGCTGAATTCTAACGTGTGTAAATTATACTTACATATATTTACGTATATAATTAACGTGTGTAAATTAAAAATCCCTCTGATTTTTAAAAATCACATTTTCTGCTAAAATTTTCAGCATATTATTTGACTATTTTATTCAATGGCTTAATCACTCCAAAACAATCCATTACATTACATAAACTTAATACAGAAAAAAATCTGTATATGTGGATGCTTTTCTTCCAAAATTCCTTATCACCAGTACCCAGTAATACTGGCTAGAAAATTCAGTCACCCTTCCCTCCTCTCACCTCCAGCTTTCAGCAGACCACTACATCCTGTCAAGTCACTTTTTTCATCACTACTATAATGCTTTAGTTCACTTCTTTCTGGACTACTGCAAAAGACTCCTAATTGATATCCTTGTCTTTAATCTCCTACCTACCAATCCAATCTTCATAATGTAGGAAAAAAAACGATCTGGCAAAAAACAAAAACAAACAAAAAAACACCCCACTGATGTTCAACAAAGCAACAATAAATGCCAATAAACACTTGATTTAAAATATTAAAGTGCTTCAGAACAAAGTCTAAAATTCATGGCGCTGGGTGCCTGGGTGACTTGGTCGGTTGAGGGTCCGACTCTTGTTTTCAGTTAAGGTCATGATCTCGGGGTCTTGAGATCGAGCCCTGCGTCAGGCTCCACACTCAGTGTGGAGTCTGCCTGTCCCTCTCCCTCCCCAAGACAGTGTGCATGTGCTCACTGCTCGCTCACACATGTGTTCTCTTTCCCCCTCTAAAATAAATAAATAAAATCTAAACAAAACAAAACAAAACCTGTCCCACTAAAGGCACTTTAAAACTAGGCTACCTGATCAATACCAATTCCCCCTCCAAAGCCTGTATTTTCTTTCACTGCCTCTAGAGCCATCCTCCATTTATGACAGTGAAATACCTACAATCCTTACAAAATCCAACTTCAATGTAATTTCCTCCATTCACACTCTCCCGAGCAAAGGCAGGTAGGTCAGCTCTGTTCCCATGAACACTGAACACACTGCTCCTTATTAATGCCACTGTTTCATCCTCTAGATGTGGATCTTCTGGGCAGGGTCTGAATCTTCACCAGGCACAGTGCCTGGCTCATAGCAAAAAATAATTTATGACTTATACTAAATAAATGAAGGAATAAAAATAGCATTATTTGCTAAATCCATTTTTACCTTGAGAAATACAAACTACCATTTTTTTTCTCAGATAAAAAGTTTAGAAGATTTGACAATATAGAAAGTACCTTGTCTACATGGAAAATTAAATCCAGTTCACAGACATTTTCAAAACACTTGTCTAATGTTTCCACAAATACCTAAAGAAAAAGAAAAGAAAAAAAAAAGGTTAAATGCTCTTGAGAACCATATAAATTCATTCAAACCTATCATCTAGAAAGGAAACAATTCTTAATTGTGAACTAACACTTTTCTAATCTATTATCGTATTTCTGTTTTAATCAGATATTGTATTAAGTATAACAGGAGTAATTATTCTTCATGATAATTACATTTCGGTACATTAACATACAAAACAAAATAAACTTTGCTGAAAGTAACGAAGAACTAGAAATTCTTAGCACCATTACTTTAAAAAACACTGAAAAATACTCAAACAGGCTCCTTATCTTCATGTGAGGAGGAAAAAAAAGTTATTGGAAATATTTATCAGTATAGATGCATGCAGTCCAAGTATCTACCATATCTAATGCTTTTAATTAGCAACTCAGCATAAAAGATCACTCAAAATTATTTATGGAAAGAGCAAAGACTTTGGAATCAGCCTTACCTGGGTTCAAACTCTGGCTTCAATACCATGCAGGGCCTTATGTGGGAAAGGGTTAACTCAGCAGGCACAGGATGCTCAAAACCTACACCCTCCCGAGAACCAAACTCCTGGGAACTGAGCTCTGAACCCTTGCAAAGTTCTGTCTGGTAAGAGTGTTTGGCATGCCTGAGTCCTTGGGCGGCACCAAATACCAGTCTGAGCAGAGAGTTTATGCTAACAGTGTAATTTAGGATGAACATCTCCTTTTCTCTGAGGTTCTAGAGTTGAAGTAAGCAAGCAAGGTCAGTCACAATGGTGACATATACATGCCTATATGAGCGACCACCAACAAAAATCCTGGGGACACAGGCTGGGGGAGTGTCCCTGATTGTGAGCACACTGTACACCTCACCACATGTCATTTCTGGGGGAATTAAACACATCTTGTGTGACTCCACTGGGCAGGGACACCTTGAAGCCTGCCTTCGGTTTTCTCCAGACAACCCCTCATGGGCTTTTGGTTATCTTACCATTTATTATCACTGTAATAAACCCAAACTATGAACACAGCAACTTCTGAGCCCTGTGAATCCTAGTGGCTCAGTGAGACCGTCTTGAAGACCCCTGACATAAGCTTTCAAAACTTAATCTCTTAAATTCTACCTTGCATAGGTTGTCACTATCTCTTCTATGCCCACCGTCCTTCTCAAAGTTAACTGTCACAGACAGAATGACCACACAATTTATCAGACAAACTGGGGCATGAAGAGTAAAAGGGAGCAGCTAAGATTGTGTAATTATTATAATAGTATGCAATGGTATCATAATTTCGTAACAGCCTGGAACAAAAGATGCAAAGCAGGGCTTTTCCTAGCAAACTGAAGTGTACACTTACTCTATTCACAGGTAACCCTACAGGACCAAGAGTAAAATGGAAACAGCAGGCTTCTTGCTAAACTGGTCCTACCTAGGCCAATTTATACAGACCCCCCAGACCAAGGTTCCTTCCACCAGTGCAGAAGTGTAAGACAGGTGAAACAACATCAACACTATATAGCCATAATCAGTATTGTCTTAGACCAGGGGTTGGCAAGTTTCCTCTGCAAAGGGTCAGACAGTAAATATGTTAGCTTTGCGGACAACAAAAAGCAGCTGTAGATAATAAACAAGGCGCATAGCTCTGCTCCAATAAAACTTAACAAAAAGGTGTAGCAGGCTGGATTTGACCTGCTGTCATCTGCTGCTCCCTGGCTTAGAGCAAAGTCACTAGGAGAAATAAAAGGTCTGTAAGTAACCAAAAATATACAGTTTTACTCAGTGATTTCATTCATGAGAAGGCAGTTCTTCAGATGACCAACGTGGAGCACATACAAGTCAGCCTCAAGGGAGTTTCTAGTTTAGTTCAATTCTGAGGTAGGTGGAAAGTAAATAACAGCCACTCAAACTCCCAACTTTATCTATTTCTCCTCAAGGCCTTGATGACGTGCACACTGGAATGATTCCACTCAGTCTACTTGAAACTAATTCAGATCATTTCCTTCTTGTTAAAACAGACTCTTATTATAAGCACTGAATGGGATAATGCTGTTTGAGCACAGAGTTGAACAAGCTTAACAAATATTAACTTCTGAGGGAAAGTAAGAATGTGAGAAGAAGAAAAAACCTTTCACACTGAAAACGAACAAAATACTTGTTTAAGTTGGACATGGTCTGATTTCCAATTTGTAACATCACAGTTAATTAACATATGGGAAGTAAAGCCATTTAAGTTCTGCCCCCCCTTCAGAAAATTTTTACTGAAGTATAACCTACATACAGAGAAGTACACAAATTACAACAAAGTATAATCTGATGAATTCACAAAGTAAATACATCTGTGTAACCAACACCAAAATCAAGTGTCAGAATAGCACCAGCACAGGAGAAGCCCCTCATACTGCATTAGCCACCATCACCATCACAGGTAACCGCTACCCTGCTCTCTAACACTATAGGTATGTTCTACCTATTTCTGAACTATATTAAATGAAATCACACAGAATATAACCTTTTGTTAGTTGCATCTTTTAGTCATCATTATTTTTGTGAGATTCATTTATTACATAATATGAAAGCTGATTCATTCTCATTTACAGTATGCAATTCTTATGAATAAACCACAATGTATTTACCTGTCGAGTTTGGGTTGTTTCCAGCACAAGGTCATTAGCACTGCTAAGCAGACTTGTATCCATGTCTATTACTGAATGTATGCACACATACCTACCCAATGCATGCAGAGGAGAACTGTGGGGTCACAGAGGAGCAAATATTCAGCTTGAGCAGAGAGCACCAAACAGATATTCTTTTCTTTTTTTTTAAAGATTTATTTATTTACCTTAGAGAGAGGGCAAGTGAGTTGGGAGAGGGGCAGAGGAAGAGAGTCCTCAAGCAGACTCCCCACTGAGCAGGGAGCTGGAGGACACAGGGCTCGATCCCAGGATCCTACGACCCTGAGATCATGAGCTGAGCCGAAACCATGAGTCAGACACCCACCCAACTGAGCCACCCAGGTGCCCCTACCAACAGATTTTCAAAGTAATTAAAAAACTTCATACTCCAGGGATGCCTGGGTGGCTCAGTCGGTTAAGCCGCTGCCTTCGGCTCAGGTCGAGATCCCAGGGTCCTGGGATCGAGTCCTACATCGGGCTCCTTGCTCAACAGGGAGCCTGCTTCTCTCTTAGCCTCTGCCTGCCACTCTGCCAGCTTGTGCACACGCACTCGCTCGCGCATTCTCTCCCTCTCTGACAAATAAATAAATATTAAAAAAAAAAAAAAAGACTTCACACTCCAAACAGCAGTATATGAGAATTCCAAAAATTATGCATCTTTGTTAGCACTTTATGCTGTCAATCTTTTCATTTTAACCATTCTTATGTGTGTGTGGTAGTATGTCATTATAATATCAATTTGATTGTCCCTGATGGCTAATAAGACTGAGCACTGTTTCAAGTGTATCAGCCATTTGGATAGCTTTCTTCAGGATGTCCATTCAAGACTTCTGCTCATTTTGGACCAGTCTGTCCCTTCCTTCTTATATTTAGAACTTTTTCACATACTCTAGACACAACCCTGTCATCTACATGTATTACACATATCTCCACCTGTTTCGTGGCTTACCTTTTTATTCTCCTAGCAATATTCTTGGAAGTTTTAATTTTCAGTATTTTCCAATTAACACTAGTTTTCTTCAAAGTTAATCTTTTTTTAAATGTCCAGTTTAAGAAATCTTTGCCTACAGCAATGCTAGGAAGATATTCTCCCAGAAAAAGACAAAAGCTTTTATTTCTCATGTTTGAACTGAATCTAGTGGAAATACGGTGTGAGTTGGTCTTCTTTAATTTAAAATCATGATTAGGGGTGCTTGGCTGGCTCAGTTGGTATAGCATGTGACTCTTAATCTCAGGGTCATGAGTTCAGGCCCCACGTGGGCATGGAGCCTACTTAAAATAAATAAATAAATAAATAAATAAATAAATAAATAAAGTCATCATTAGACTTACTCATCTGAATAAAGTTTCTAGTATGCCTTTACTTTTCCACGGTTACTTCTTCCAAACCCACTGGTTTGATTATCCATGTATGATAGTTACACATTCTTTTTAACCGTCAGAAGATGACTATCTTGGTGAAAATGCTGTCTAAATAATTTCCTGTCACTTATGAATAGTTATAAAAGATCAGTGGAATCCAGTGAATCAAAGTGCACATGATGCTGGGCGAAGTGAAAAGAAATTCCCTCCGTAGCTTTAAGCATACCACTGGTGAACCATGGAGTGACAAAAAAAAAATATGGGCTGCCAAAGAGAAAGTATGGTCTAGTAGTGAGGAAACCAGAAAGACCTAGCTTCGAATTCCTACTCTGCTGCTACCTAGCTACATGAGCTTGAGCATCATTAACTCCTCCAGATCTCAGAACTATAAAATAGTGATAAAAATACCTACCATTTTGGATCATCTTACAGATTTAGTTAAATAATTTAGGGGCGCCTGAGTGGCATCAGTTAAGCATCTGCCTTCAGCTCAGGTCATGATCTCAGGGTCCTGGGATAGGGTCCAGGGATAAAGTCCTGGGATTGAACCCCAAGTTGAGTTGGGCTCCCTGTTCAGCAGGGAGTCTGCTTGTCTCTCTGCGTCTCCCCACCCCCAGCTCGTTTGTGTGTGCACCTGCATGCTTCTCTCTCTCTCAAAAAAAAAAAAAAAAAAAAAAAAAAAAATTTAGTTAAAGTGCCCAAAACACATCTAATAAAAGGGAACCAGTACTGTTCATCTGGCTGTTCAAAAACATGCAAGTATTGGGCACCTGAGTGGCTCAGTTGGTTAAGCATCTGCCTTTGGTTCAGGTCATGATCCCAGGGTCCTGGGATTAAGCCCTGTGTTGGGCTCCCTGCTCAGTGGGAAGCCTGCTTCTCCCTCTCCCACTCCCCCTGCTTGTGTTCCCTCTCTCTGTGTCTCCCTCTGTCAAATAAATAAATAAAATCTTTTTTTTTAATGCAAGGATTACAAAATTAA